TTGGTGGGATTGTAAAATGGTACAGCCAATTTGGAAAACAGTTTTGCAGTTTCTGAAAATGTGAAACAGAGTTATCACATGATCCATCAATTCCACTCCTCAGTATATACCCAAAAGAATTGAAGACATGTCCACACAAAAACCTGTGCATGGATGTTCAGAGCAGCATTATTCATAACAGCCAAAAAACAGAAACAATTCAAACATCCATTTACTGATGATAGACAAAATGCGATTAGCCACTCAATGAAGTATTATTCAGCTGCAAAAAAGAGTGAAGTATTAATATCTACTACAACATGAATGATCTTAGAAAGCATTACACTAAGTGAAATAAGCCAGACACAAAAGGATATGTATTGTATGATTCCATTTATATGAAGTATTCAAAATAGGAAAATCCATATAGATAGAAGGTAGGTTAGTGCTTGCCAGGCCTGGAGGTATTGGGGACTAGGGAGAGAGTGATTGCTCATGGGTATGGGGTTTCTTTTTGGGGTGATAAAAATTTCCTGGCATTAGCTAGTTGTGATGTATAAACTTGTAAATAAACTAAAAGCCTCTGAATTGTACACTTCAAAGGGTAAGTTGTGTGGTATGTGAATTATATCTCAAAAACAAATAAATAAGCAAATACCTTTCAATTATCACTTTGTGTTATTTGGGAGGATTATAATCCAGTTGAACTGACCATGATTTTTTCACATCATTACATCCTAATTAAGATTGCCTAAAATTTTGCCCAATCTCTAGGTACAGAACTGGAAACATTAATTCCATTAAACCGTATTTGCACAGTAACATTTTGAGGAGGTCTAATAAATAGTGATTTATTCATTTACAATGTATCAATTTTTCTGTTTTTAGCTTCAGAAGGTGGCCTCTTCTTGGTAGTATCCCCCAGTCCTTTTGTACCTACTACAAATAATGTGAAAATTTTGGAAAAGGTTTTATGCATGGCAAGGTTTGAAAATTAAATAGTATTCAAAAGTTAAAAGAATATTTCCATTCTTTTATGTTTAAAATTTTTTTTTAATTTCAAAATATTACAGGGGGAGGGGGTGCTGGGGGTGGGTAAACTCACAACTTATAGGTGTGGAGCGCACCGTATGGGGGAAGGGCACACTTGTAGCTCTGGCTTGGGCGAGGCAAAGGCATTATATGTAACCAAAATGTTTGTACTCCCATAATATTCTGAAATTAAAAATAAATAAATAAATAATAGAAAAAAATATTATGGGGGTACAAACATTTTTGGTTACATGTATCAATTTTGTTATGCTTAAGTTAGGGTTTTAAGTGTGCCCATCACCCAGATAGTGTTCATTGTACCTTTGAGGTGGGTTTTTGCCCATCCCCTCATCCCCCTGCCCCGCTGCTTGATTTCTTCTGAGTTTTACTTCCCTCTGTGCACATATGCGCTCATCAGTTATTTCCAGTTTAATAGCGAGTACATGTGGTATTTGTCTTTACATTCTTTATATACTTCACTTAGGATAATGGTCTCCAGTCCATCCAAATTGTTGCAAAAGGCCTTAATTCATCCTTCTCCATGGCTGAGTAGTATTCCATAGTATACATATATCGCATTTTGTTAATTTGCTCATGAATTGATGGGCACTTGTGTTGATTCCACATCTTTGTGATTATGAATTGTGCTGCAATAAATATTACAGTGCATGTGTCTTTCTCATAAAATGATTCTTTTCCTTTGGGTAAATACCCAGTAGTGGGATTGCTGGATCAAATGGTAAGTCTACTTTCAGTTCCTTGAGGAATCTCCATACTGTTTTCCATAGAGGTTGTACTAATTCGCAGTCCCATCAACAGTGTATAAGCATTACTTTCTCTCTGCATCCATGCCAGCATCAATTCTGTCTGTATTTTTTAATAAAATCCATT